GCCGCCCCTCCCCGTCGAGGGGGGGGGTCGGCTTCGCAGCCCTGACGTCGCGGCGCCATCACAGGATTGAACGCCGTGGTACGTATATGCTTATATATAAGTGCCTGTATATCAGTACGTATATATATATATATGTATATACGTGGGGAGTTTATGTTTATCGCTCTAGTTGTAATTTAAAGGAGGGGGGGGGGGGGGAATAGACAAACCAAAAAGTAAATTCTATCGATCTATTTTTATTTATTTATTTCGTGTTTAGCGTGACGGGGTAGGTGGTTGATTGGTATTCGAGATGGAGTGAGGCTGAATCCACAGCCTTGTAATCCGCAATGCGCGTTCGCTAACAAAAAAGTAAGTTCTAAATAAAGGCTAAAATATAAATAAGATGGTTTTGAATGCCTAGGTATAATAGAAAACCTGGTGTACTCTAAAAATAAGTATGTCTTCATAAAACGGAATAAAGATAATTTGGTTTAGATGGATAAGATGGGGAAGATAGTCCATGTTTCAAGCAATTGTTCATTTTTTTTCCAACTTCTATAAAACATCTCAAATTATTCTTGCGTTTGTAGAATGTGAAAACTGTTGTTTAAATTTTTTTTAGGATATTATTACCGCAAATTAAACGTGATATATTTATTTCAGTAGATGTAAGAATACCCTCCCCCCCTCCTCTATGTATTTCGAAGCAAGGGGGAAAGGGCTCACTCGTCATTGCCTCTGGTTTTGAACCTCAAAAAAAGAAAGGTAGTGTACAAATAAAGGAAAAGGCATCATACTAGGAAAGATACCGCTCCTTTCGTCCTATTCCTATTTCAACTTTATCCCCATACACCTTGTTTTGACTGCATTGCTATTCCTACCTCCGACCACCTCTGAATGGGGGGACGAACCCTCCGCGGCCCCTCCCTCCCCGATTTTCGCGATGAAATTTTTTTGTATTTGGCTGGTCGCCGTTGTAGTGCGAGACGTCGTGGCGGGGATTTGAAGAATACGCACTGCGACTCCTCCCACTTCCCCTCCCCGCCTGCGGCGGCCTTTCCCCCTGTGGACCCCCTCCTCGTGGCTTTTGGGTGGTTTCTAATCTTTTGTTATTATTATTATTATGATTAGGATCATTATTCTCATCCTCGTCCTCGCGTAAACGTTTGCGGAGCCGTTCCACGACTTTCATGCCCTCGTCCTCGGACATATTTGGATTTAGTACAATCGTCCGCGAGACGTCGTGGTAATGCCGGGAAGGGCGGCTGGGGTCGATCTCGCGAATACCTTTTCGTCGCCGCCGTTCGATCCGTCCGCGGTCGCGTTCATTACTTCTTTTATCCAAATACGCCGCATAGCAATTCATCGGAGCGAGCATGTTGAGCTGGCGATCATCCCGGCAGAGAATCTCCTCCACCGACAGCGTAAAGTCCTCCGCGGGGACTTCGCGATAGCGAAATCGGGTTGCCACCTCCCCGCCGGCAATTTTAGCATCGTAGTGAAGTTTGTTGTACTCGTCCTCTTTTTGCTGGAGTTCGTCTTTTAGACGCGATAAAAGTGCCTCATTTCGGTTTTCAGGGGGTTCGTCCGCTTTTCCTTTTTTTGAGGTTGGGGATGCCGAGTTCCCAACATGCCGCCGCGAAAACTCAGAGGGGTACAAAAGATCCTCTTTTATATTATCGATGTCCTCGTGATCGATCGCGCCGAGTTCGCGTAAAAGAGGATCCGGCTCATCCGCCAAGAGGTCCGCCGCGTCGGGATCGCCTTGTTGGTGCGCGATGCGTTTTGCGTCCTCCAGAGATCCGGTGTTGAACAGATCGGGCTCTAGGAATAAATCGTGAAGTCCAGGTTGTGTAATATCCCCTTTTGAGGGTTCGTCCTCGTGGAGGGCGTTGGTCGTGTTGGTTCCCTTTAACCCATCCTCATTATCGAGCTCAGCATCGAGGTACGCCATTTCGTCCTCCAAGTTCGCTTCCTCGTAGTACTCATCGCTAAAAAGTTGCTGCATTTTTTTATCAAAATCCGCCGTATCGAAGGGCGCGTCGAGGGCCTCGTTTGTCCAGATCGACGTGATTTTTTGGAGCGTTTGGTCCTCCCTTTCCGGCATCAAGCGGCGGTCGCCGGTGTCGTTCCCCTGGCTCTGAGAGGTTGGGCCCTTTTTGGAGGTCATCCCCGCCACCGCCGCGATCAGCGCGCGCCGCTCATCGATCTCCAGCCGCTTGAGATGTTTAAGGCGCCTGAGCTCCTCGGTTCGGCGCGAATTCGCGGCCTCGGCGCGGTCTTTTCGTCGTTGACGGGCGTCCTTTCGCGCGGTGTTGGGTTTGCGCAAAAGGCCCTGCGCGGCCTCGCCGATCGGCCGCGGGAAGGTCTCGACGCCCGGGTCCTCGTCCTCATGGCGGTACTTCTCGGCCTGGTAGTCCCGCTCCCAGCGCTCGGCCTCGTTGTAGAAGATCTCGTCCTCCTCGG